AGCATAAAACAATGGCTGGCAACCTTTTCAGGCTGCAGGCCAGAATGACCCAGCTCAGGTCAGAGGCAGGTGCAAAAGTGGGTGCTAGGACCCAGCTGCTGCTGCCACATCTCCCCACTGGGGCATGGTAGAAGAGCCTGCTGCCAAATGCTGCCAAAGCCCCATGCCTGTGGCCCAGATCCAGTGGCTCCATGGGCTGAATTCAGCCGCAAGCCATCGGTTGCCAACCCCTCACCTAAAACAATTGCACCTTTTTAATATTTTTTACTCAAAGTTCAGCAAGTTACTGACAACCTCTAGAACTGGTTTAAAGTCTGTATAGATGTGTTTTGGAATATATGTTACACTTATGCTACCAGGAATGAATTTGTGACTAAAACTAACAGGGAAAAATGCTGCATCATATCAGTCATATGTGAAATAACAGAACCTTCAGGACCATCACAAAGATTCCTGGATTGTAAACATGCTGTTTTGAAGAGAGGGGTGGGTGGGTGGACTTGTGTGATCTGTATATGGGCTGTATGTGCTTATGCACAAAGAAACATGAAAACTATCATACTACAACAGACTAGTTGTCCAGTAAGTCTATTATCCTATCTCTGATGTGTTCTTCATCAGATGATCCAGGGAAGGTCTAAAATCTCCATAAATACCTAATTCTGTAATGAAGGAAGGACATAATTTCTGACTTTACCTGGCCAAAGTATCCCCTGAAGTATGTTAGCAATTATTTTATTTAAAGTATATATACCTAATGCTCTTACTAAAAGCTTTACTGTTATAATATCTGAAGCAGGGAATTCCACAGAGTAGTTGTACTTTTTTGTATAACGTATATTATATAGTTATACATTATATAAAGTTATACATTATATAAAAAATATCCCCACCACCTTTATCCCTTTCCTTTAATTTTAAAGTGCCTTAATTTTTTTTCATTATAGGATATGATAAAGCCAGTCGGTCACTAAACTGAGCCCCTCTCTACATTTGTTTTATCACGCGTGCGCACACACACACACACACACACACACACACACACGCCAGGAATGATTATGCATGGATAGCTTGATGCTCTCGGTTGGTACAAGAAGATGAGGGAATGAAATTATATTATGGAGGACTCTCTACTTAGAGCAGATTTTAAGGATGACTTCTGGGAAGTTCTGAATGCATTTTATCTTTGTCTATACTTACATTTAAAACGTGTTCAGCTGCTTCCATTGTTGACACTTGATGTCAGCACCAGATAATATTTGCCATAGTGCCCTCAAAGGCTTTCCTGTTTTATAGTCTAATCATAACATAGAGGGGATAGATTTATTGAGAACTAATCTTCCAATAACTTGGTGGGTAGCATCTTGATACATTCAGAAAACTGGAAACAAGGTAACATACCTCCCTATATAAAAATATTGTCACGTTTATAAACCATTTTTGAGCTATGACTAATATATTCAAATTGAAATCGGAATATAATGGTGTAGGAAGCCACAGTGACTTTCTCTATGTCTGTTGGTATGTAAAAAATACAGAGAACTCCTTTGGAGCCTTTAAGTTCCACCTAGTCTGAAAGGGTCAAAGGAATCTCCTTCCCATGGTGCCTTAAGGCTCCAAGGGTAAAAGTTGTCCCTAGGCTAGTGGTTTTCAACCTTTTTAGACTGGAGAAAACCCCTTCATAGTTTCAAGGCACTGCTCAATAGACTCAGAAAATGCCAGTTCTTAGTTTTCACTCATGTTTTGACTACAAAGAAATAGCAGAGCAAGTCTTCTGTTACAAAGAACTCAGAAAGACCACAACAGGTCAGAATGTTTTCAGTGCTATGGATTTCTATTTGAAAACTCTGGGTTTATCTTGTAAATCATGTTTTCACACCTAACAGTACTAACATTGCTTGGCATCCAGGGCCAAAGACCCTGGTTGAGAATCATTGGCCTAGACAAAGGTTCAGGATGCACTAGAGCCAAGTGGGAGCTGATTGCGATTTAACTAGTACACAGGCAGTAGTGCACCTCTGCAGAGAGAGAAAGTTGATGCTTTCCTAATACGGTGTACTCCTAGCTATCACCAGTACAGAGAACAAGGTGCCACAGTCATGATTTCCTGTATGGAAGAAAAAATGTATGCATCTTATATTCAAATGATCTATAAGCAGTTTGTTTTACACAGTAGATTATGTAGAGCTCATCTATTGATTCATACATGAACTCTAGCTCATTCCTTGAGAGCACCAACATCCTCTGTACTTAACTGAAGTAGGGTACCCATCAATTTATATCCAGTCCTAAATTTCCCTTGACAAGGGAAATAACCAGAATGCAGTGTGGTCCACCTGCACACTCATGTACCACTACCCCTGTTGGCAAGAAGATGGTGTAAGAGTCCGATGTATGACCTGTGAGAGCTCCTCCACACCAGGGGATCTTAGCCTTGTAAGTCTTGAATCCTGAGATATTTGTTAGTTAGATTAAAACCCCAGCTCCTAGAGAGATGATTTTACAGAAGAATCTTAGCTTTCATGCACATGTTTGCTGTCCTCTTGGTATATTGCTAATCCCAAGCATTCAAATCTCTTCAGTCAGCACCCTTTCTTCCCTACATTTACTACTAAGATTGGCCTACATTTGCATAAAACTATAAAAAAAAATAAGGGGGGGGGATTTTTATTTGGCTTCTGGTGTAGAAGTCCTTCTACTTTGTATATACAAACCTTAAATGGAAGCTGAGATTGCCTGTAATCACCTGAGCATCTGGGGCTTTAAAAAAAATGGAGACTCTCAATCAAATTGTGAACTGACAATACTCCTATGGATTGCAGAGAGATGCTTGGAAGCACGGCTTCCTATACTCTAAAGAAAGGGTTAAAACCTAAGAGGAAAATTAAAAAAAACAAAAACAAACAAACAAAACATCCCAGAACAAAATAAAACCCAAACCTTCTAAATGTATTTTACAGAAGTGTGAAGGTGATGTTGTAGCCACGATGGTCATAAGAACATAAGAATTGCCATTTATTGGCTCCGTCCAATGGTCCCTCTAGCCCAGCATCCTGTCACACACAGGCAGAGAGTAGATGCTGAAAGGGAGAATGAACTGGGTACAACCAGGGATTTTTTTGCACCGTTCCTCTCTCACTTGCAGCCTCCAGCATTTAAAGGCTAGGAAGTTCTAATTCAGGGGCTATATCCCAAACTGCCTTGCACAATAGCTACTTACACACCTTTCTTCCAAAAATTGTCTTGTCCCTTTTTGAATCTGGCTGAACTGTCAAGTTCTGCAACATCTGGTACCAATGTGGCTCACACTTCAATTATATGCTGTGTGAAATTAGGTCTACCCTTTAATTACACACTGTTAGTTTTACATTTACTGCCTTCTAGTTTCATTTTGTGACCCTTAGTTCATGTCTTATGAGAGAGAGTAAATGATAAATCCTTATCTACTTTCTCTTTGCCATTTAATATGTTGTAAACCCTCCTCCCCATTCAAGTGTCTCTCTTTCAAAATTGAACAAGACTGGCCTCTTTAGTCTCTCCTCATGTGGAAACCCTTTCAAAGCATTCATAATCCTTGCCCTTCTGTAAGGCAAAAAATTATGGTCCAGAAATGAGGCAAGAGGCAAAGATGTTTTAGGGTGATCTCTTTTTTATTGGCCCATATATGTACTTTATCCTGAAACCTAGCCAGTTGGTCCAATAAAATGTACCACCTTAACAATCCTTCCCTTTGCATAAATGTAGTTTTACACACACACACACACAGATATACATACACACATATGTATATATGTGTGTATATGTTTATGTGTAAGTATGTGTTTATATTTGTATGTATATGTGTATTATATAGTATATTAAATATAAATAATTAATATTTAATTATATTATGTATATGTGTTCTATATTATATTAAATACAATTATATTAATTACATATAATGATGTTGTGTGTATATATGTCTATGTGCATATATGGATGTATATATATTTATGTGCATGTGTATATATGTTTGCGCATATGATTTTATTAAATATAAATCAGATTATATATAATTACATTATGTATGTGTTATACATGTACATGTGTGTATATATGTGTAAGTACGTGTATAAGTTTGTGAGAGATATGTATATATTATGTTAAATATAAATAATTACTTATATTAACGATATATAGTTACATTATGTATATATATTTATGTGTATGTATGTGCATATGTTTGTGTGTGTGATTTGTATATATTATATTAAATATAAATAATTATATTAATTATATATAATTACATGTGTATGT